CATGCATCCTGGCATGTAGTGGGCACTCAATTGCTGGGCATTGGATGAATGACCCTTGACCCAAGCCTGGCTCAGGGAGAGGCAGGAGCAGGCCCCACCCATATGAAACAGCCCTGGGGTGCTATCCTAGCTTTTCACATCTCAGTCAGATCAGTTCACGGCCTCACGTTGCTATCCTAAGGCTTACATGATAATGTGTGCAAAGCCTCGGCATAGCTCCTGACACAGTGTGGCAGCCAGGTTTTCTTGGGGCTAACCTCTCCCAGCTTCTTTTACCCTCCCTGCCCCCCAACAGTGTCGGGGTGGTGGGGTGCCAGAGGGTCTGCTGCATCTCAGCACCATTTCCCTTCCCTTCCCTGTGCCCTCCTGAGCCACAGGGGCTGGATGTCTGCAAACCACCTCTTCCCAACTTCTGTTGTCAGCAGCTTCAGGCCAGCTCTGTCCTGGGATGCAGCCACCGGGACCTACAGGGGCAGCAGCCGCCAGATCCCTGAGCCCCTGCAGGGACCACCTGCACCCTCACCCTGCCAGGGCTTTTGTGATCTGGCGCTCTTCACTAAATACCTTCCTACTGGAACAGCTAGACTGGAATGCTTTCCTGGCTAGGCCGTGGAGTTTGTTGAGTTTTTCCTGAGGGCACAATGTGGTGGTCTCAACGTGGCGGGCCTGAGTGTGCACCTGGGTGCATCAGGGGAGCCGGTAGGACACAACCTGTCTCCTCCCCACCTCGGCTACCCTGGGTGGGCCTTACCCCTCAGGAGAGACTGGTCATCCCCACCCCCATCTGACCTCCCCCGGCCGCGCAAAGCAGCCCCTCTGTTTGGACTGCACCTTTATCCTATTTAACAGGTGAGAAGACTGAGACACAGGCTACTAAGTTGTTTCTGCGGCTAAAAAGCGGTCGTCTGGGATTGAAACCCAGTCCTGACTGCTGTGGCCCCAGAGGCTGCACTCAGAACCGCAGCTCCATGCCCCCTCTTCTAGGCGTCTGGCCAGCAGCCTGAGCGGCAGATGAGACTTCGGGGCCCTTGAGGGGGACAGTGGAGAGACGGATGATGAGCTGGTGCTCATTACATGCTCGAGAATCCACCAAGGTCCTTTCTCCAGCCTCTTGTTATCATCACATCCAGTTCCCCGCAAGCGCGTGGCCCCCTTCTAGCGAGACTTCTCTCTCCTCTCCCCCAGTGGATGGAGGACTGGGCATGGAGTCAGTGGAAAATACAGCTCAGATCCCAGCTCTCTTAACTGCTGTGAGTCCCGGGCAAGTCCTGTGCCCTTTGCAGGCCTCAGCTCCCCATTATAAGCACAGTGGGTGGGCTGGGACCCATCAGGGGCTCTCCCAGTACTAACATTCTAGAATCTTACTTTGAAGACAGCATGAAATCCAAGATCTTTAGTCGGCGCAGAGGGTGGACCACACAATACGTTTTACCAAACCGGGATGGGTGTGCCACGCCACGGGCTGTGTGTGATGGAGACCCAGAGTGCCTAAGCCCAGTGCACACCGGGAAGCTGTCACAGGATGCATGCGACAGCTGGCAAAATGGACCCCCAGGCTCCAGGGCTCCAGCGCCGCCTGCTGAGCCAGGGCTGCCCCTTCTCGCAGCTCTCATGGGAGCCAGGCTGGTTCTCCCCTCCTGATGAACTCACTGATGGCCACTCTGTGCCAGGTGGTAGGCTGGGCACTGAGGCCATGGGGCGAATCAGACAGGCATGTCCTCAAGGAGCTCCCAGGCTAGCACATGCAGTCGCCAACCATTCTACCCTTCCTTTGAGGCCCACCAGGGATAAGTCCCTCTTCTAGGAGCCTGCCCCGGCTTCCCCAGCTGCCATACCTCAGCTCTGACTTCCAATGTCCCGCTGGCCTGGTGCAAGCCCGGCCCATACCCGGGAGCTTTCCAGGGTGCCATGAACTACAACCCCTGGACTGCGAGGGGGTCAAGGGCAGCTGTACCTCAGTCACCCTGAGACAGGCTGTGCCAGGGCTCAGCAGGTGCAGTCAGAATTGCTGTCTGGCAACAAGGATTCATGACACAGCCCACATCTGTCCTGGCCACAAACGCACCATCTGATCCAGTACCTCTGTGCTGGACACTTGGCTAAGGTTACTCTGCGCTGGGTTCAGAAGTTCCTAAGCAAGCAAGGTCATCCTGATTTGCCAATGTTCCAACTGGCCTGCAGAGGTAGCCACCCAGCACAGTGGAGAACACACAGGCTCTGGGTCTCAGGCCTGCCGCCGAATAGCTGCGTGAGGCTGGCCGATCATGTAACCTCCACAGGCCTCGGTATCATCATCTCTAAAATGAGCTAACAATACCTACAGGCACAGGTGCTGTGCAGCAGCTTAAACTAGCTGGTATGTGTGGTTGCTGCTAGTGTTCAAGATGTGCACCCTCCTTTCCTGCCCTTCCGAGGCTGGCATTCACCTCCCAGAGGAAGCCTTTCTTCTCTGAGGGGCACCAACACTCACTGTGGGCCCCACTGGCAGGCTGAGCAATGCCACTGGGGACAAAGCAGGGTCTCAATGCAATGAGACACACCCCTGTGGAGTTCTAAACTAGACATGTCCAGAGAAGTGGCCCCAAAGGGCAGCCACTGGGGAAGAGATGGGATCTGCTCTGGTGTCTAGCTAGGAAGTCAGCTCTTGCCTGTGGAGACACCCACTGGCCAGCAGCTTCCAGTGTCTTCCGTGGTAGCTGGGGCTGCTGGCGAGGCAGAGCAGGGCACGGCAGCTCGGTTGGGGTTTACCTTGATCTACACGGAGAGGCACTGTGCAGTGGAAATCTGGAGCGCTGGAGTCAGAGAGCAGGGTTCAAATCCCAGATCCCCGAGTGGATGTGAGACTTTGGTCAACTTGTTGATCCTCCTTCACCCTCAGCTGCCTCATCAGGAAAATGGGACTAGGACCACCTACCTGGTAGCATGTGAGGCTGCGAGGACTGGTATCACTGGTGTTAGGTGCAAAAGACCTAACAAGCCCAAGGATTACTTCTTTTATTTTTATTTTTTGAGACAGAGTCTCGCTGTCACCCAGGCTGGAGTTCAGTGGCGTCATCTCGGCTCACTGCAAGCTCCGCCTCCTGGGTTCACACCATTCTCCTGCCTCAGCCTCCCAAGTAGCTGGGACTACAGGCGCCCGCTGCCACACCAAGCTAATTTTTTTGTATTTTTAGTAGACGGGGTTTCACCGTGTTAGCCAGGATGGTCTCGATCTCCTGATCTTGTGATCTGCCCACCTCGGCCTCCCAAAGTGCTGGGATTACAGACGTGAGCCACCGCACCTGGCTGGGTTACTTCTTAATATACAAACCGGCACCTGTTCTGATCAGTACCTGGGAATGGTCAGGGGAAGGAGGCCGGAGGAAGACCAGGCCCCAAGCCGGCACCCCAGATGCAAATCTGCCCCGATTCCCTAGCCAGGCTTGTTGAAAAGTCCCCAGAGAGATTTACATGGGACAGGATCTCTTCCTGGGAGAGAAGATCCCAACATGCACCCAGTGAAGCTGAAGGTCACATCACATCTGAAAGGCGACTTTGTTCTCCCGGCTTCATCCCTTACGCATGAAAGAGCACACGGCGGGTGCTCAGGATTCATAATCCGAGACATCCGGAGACTAAAGACACTGGCCAAATTTAAACCGAAAGATGAACTTGTTGGCTGTCTTTTCAGATTATGAGGGAAAGAAGAAAGGGGAGAATTTCTTAAGTCATCCACGAACCATTGAGAATTCACTAGGAGTCGGCCTGATGCTGATATGAGGGCTCTGCCTCTGGGTTCCGGACACTTAAAATACCACCGTTTGAAAGGGATAAAGAGACACATGCCCAAGGGGACCCCCACAAGCCATAGCTGACGGGCAGGGGAGTCTCCGGAGAGTGGCTGAAAGAACCTGAAAAGAGTGGTCCTTCTGTGAAGGTCACCGCACAGGTCAACAGGAGGCCTCAGGCAGCATATGGCCAGACTGGGCTCCCGGGAGGCCAGGACATGGTGAGGTGAGGGCCACACAGGTCGGAGGCTTGGCTGTGGCCCTGCCCGGCACTGGAAGCACAGCTGCCTTCCTCTCCCGTTACTTCCTCTCAGCAGTAGCGGGAACGAATGCCATCTAACACCATCTGGGCTCAGCACAACCGTTCCGATATGGTGCAGAGCTCGACACAGCCCTTGGCGCATAGCAAGAGCTCAGTTAACACTAGTTGCTAACAATTTTACTTTGCCATTGTTAAACATATTGAGTTCCAATTGCCTTTGGCTCTGAGATAACCTGAATGCACAAGTGTTCTACCAACAACGTGATCATGGTCACCGCTGAGTCACACAAAACCCAGGGTGGTAAAAGCGGGGAGGTCGTTGCACCATTTTCACAGATGGGAAAATCAAGGCTTAAGAGAAGAGGTGACTGATCAAGCGTCACAGCTTCCAAGTGGCAGAGCTAGGGCTAGACCTTGAGTCTCCCAAGACACTGAAATACTTCCCACCATCCCCCAACACACTGAAACGACACATCCTGAGTCCATCGGGGGACGCCTGGACCCCCGTCCCCAGTACTGAGACCCAGGCCCAGTCCACGTTCGGCCTGGAGCAAGGCTGTGGAATGAAAAAGTGTTGCGGATCCAAAAAGTGATGGAAATAACGGACATCCTCTCTGGGGAAAACGCCCATGTGGACATGTACACAACCTCATGTACATTGTGGGGAACTCACAGCCCCTGGCCAGGGTCCCCCGCCCAGGCTCACAGACGCTTCAGCTGATGCACCAGATCCCTGGTGTGGCCTCCGTGAGTCATCCAGAGGTGACCTCATCACACACACACCCAGCTGCTGGGTGAAAAGGGGGCCCCACTGGGCCTTCAACGCCGGGAACCTAAGACCATCACCCCCCAGCTCAGTGCTGCACCTGGGCATGTGGCCCCACCCAGCCTGCAGTCACTGCTGCTGCCATCCCCAAAGGGCAGGAGCTGCCGGACGCTGCTGCCGGTCTACTCCATCTGATGAGCGCCGCTTGCGTTTCAAAACGAGAACATTTATTATTTGTTTTTTCCTCATTAAACTTTCACAAATAAAGCACAGCAAGACTTGTCTGCAGACACACAGGAGGCACACGGACAGCCCGTCAACGAGATGGAGACGAAGGCCAGTGTGGCTCTCATAGGGCAGCGCTTCTCAGAACCCCGGGCCCCCCCTGTGCCAAGGCTGGCCTGTGTCAGGCCTCGCCCACGCCACCTTATGACAAATACAGAGGCTGATGCCAAGGAGGTGGCTACAGAGCTGGGGCAAGAAAGTTATCCTCTTGTTCTGATAATGACCCTACAAATCCCACCCCACCCTCAGGCACCTCCATCTAAGGTGTCCGGTTACTCCAGGTAAGGAGGTTCTAAGGAGGGCTGGGTTTTCCCTGGGGCTGATGAAACTTGCTCAGACAAGCCAGGCCACTGGGAGGCACCTCAGGATGGCAAAGATGCTGGAGGCTTTGCTGGCTTTCAGGATGCCTGGAGCCCCACGGGGGCAAAAGGGGAGGAAGGAAAGAGATTCTAAAGACAGACTGCTGCTGGTATGTCCCGACCCAGGGTCACAGTGTCAGCAAAGAGAACAGCCCGATTCTGACAGGGTTGGATTTTGTTTCACCCTCGGGATGAGCAGACTTCAAACACTGCATTTTCACGGAAATCAACAAGAGAGACAGCTAGCAGGACACGGGGCTCCTGCCAGTTCTGTGTGGAAAGGCACCAGATGGTTTGTTATGAAACACATTTTGGTCAGAAAATAGCTGGGGTTTTTTGGTTCCTGGGAGGACAACAAAGCTAGAAGCAAAGGAGGTGTGAGTTGTGTGAGGAGGAGGCAGAGAAGAAAGCAGCTTTGGCATCAGACCTGGGTTCTACTCTTCACTCTACCCCGCCATGCTTGAGGCCTCAGTTTCCTCGTCTGTAAAGTGGTCATAGAATATTTCCAAATAAATCTAGGTGTCAGGTTTCACACATCATCCCAGGAAGTATGGGGAGGCGGGGCAGAGACACTCAAAGGGACACACAGAGAGCAGAGGAGGAGCACAGCCTTGCGTGCAGGGGAGAAGGCAGGGAGGGGCCCGACGGAGGGCGGTCAGAGATGATCCCCGCAGTCAGTCCCTGGGAGCGGGGAGCAGCCAGTTACACTGGTTCCAAGCACAGGTGGAGACCATCCACGGGGACCTTGGGCCCCTTCTCCTGGAGGAAGGGCAGAAGGAAAGCTGGATTCAATGCAGCACCATGGAGGAGCCCTCAGGGCCACACCTGCTGTGAATGCTTTAAAGTGCCAAGCTGTATCGTCTTTGGTCAGGAGCTGCCCCTTAGTCTCTAAGAGCCTGGGGTCCAGGACTCAAGTCCCGCCTGCTGGGCCCTGAGGAAAGAGAGCAGGAGGACACCTTCCCCTTCTGAGGCTGTGGGTGCTCTACTATGCTGGGGGGTGAGGGGAAAAAAATCACTGAAATCCAACGGCTTTCAGAAAGCAGGATGCCCCCAGGGAAATTTGGGTCCTTAGAGAGAGAGAAGGGACTAGAAATGCTTTGGTCACAGTCCTGATACCCACAGCCAGGGCAGAGCTTGCTACAGGAGAGCAAGCGGGAGCCGACTGCAGCACTGCACACATCATGCAGCAGGAGACGTGCCTGACGCAGACTGGCTTCCGAGCATAAGCCAGAAGTCACTGAATAAATATTCAAGGCATCTTTTGGTTCTCAGAGAAAGAGCAGGGCTTAAAAAAAAATCTCTCCCCTGCCTGACTGGCTGCAGCTCTGATCTCCAGACTGACAGTGCTGAGGGCTGGGAGAGGTGGCGGGTGGGTTCCGGAGCCGGCTCCCCTGCAGCAGGTGGCTTTGGTCGTCAGATGTCAGGGTCGCTTGTGTCCGGCTGGCCCCGGGCCCTCAGAAGCTGAAGAGGTCATCCTGCTCTGGGCCGCTGCTGTCAGGCTTGTCCCAGTCGACAGGCGAGAGGCACTGGGCATAATGGATGTCCTGGGCTGTCAGGCCAGTGTCCAGGACCTGAGGGTTCGTCCGAGACTGGGCAAGCCTGGAAGGCAGAGCTGTGTGAGCCGAGGGCCTGGGTGAGGGCTGGCGGGCCCCAGGGTCAGATGCGAGGAGGCAGCAGTGGGGAACAGCAGGGCAGGTGGCCCAAAAAGGAAGCCCCAAGTACAGTGGAGGTGGAGGAGCCTCAGATCAAAGCACCTCCCTTGAAAGTCAAACAGCTCAGAAAAGTCTGGGGCAGCCAGCGGTGCACCCACCCCCGGGAGAGGCCAGAGCACCCACTCTGTGGCCCAGCTCAGTCAGGATATGCCCAGGAAAGAGGAGAAGGGGCAGTGCTGGTAAAGGGAGCGGCAGGGGTGGTGTGGGGTGGGGAACAAGCTGTGGGAGGGAACACGGAAGATTCTTTGGCTATAACTGTGTCAACACCGTGCTGTTCGAAAAATAAATTTACAAAGGGAGACAACCTACGTGTCCAAAAGAATAGGGGAGAGTCAAGTAAATTACAGACGCTTCCCTTAGGAGAATGTTAGGCAGTCAATGGAAGGGGTGTTTACGAGGAGTTTTTAACAGCCTGGAGCAATGCTTCTGACACAATGCTGTTAAGTGAAAAATCAGGATCCCAAAATGCAAATACGATGAGCTGATCAATGCAAAATAATGTATATGTATAGGATTAGCATGAATTAAGCCCAAAACTCTGAGCTGTGGGATTATGGGATGGTGTTACTTTCTGTTTAACGCTTTGCTGATTTTCAAAATTGTTAATAAAGGGCACACGATGCTCAAAACAGTGTGGAAAGATGAAACAGTGTGTGAAAGATTTTCTTCAGAGGGCGGGTTTAGTCAGCCAGTGAGGCAGGAAGGTGTCGCCCTCGCCCCAGGCTGGACCAAGGGGTTTCCACCAGTCCCTGGCAAGGAGGAGGCAAGGAAGAGGAAGGAGGAAGCAGGAGGGCAAAGACCCTGACTCTGTCCCCACTCGCTGGACCAAAAATCGCGGACCGCAACCCCAAACAAAGCCCCTGATGTGGGAGGGCTGTAGGAGGCTGCTGAGGGTCTCAAGGGAGAAAGGGAGGCCTGACAGACGGGGACCCAGGGCTCGGAACCCTGACCTGCCCAGGCCTCTCCTCAGCCACAGCCTTCTCAGTGGCATGTCCCCAAGCTGCAGGGGACCACAAGGATGGCCCCTGGGAAAATAGGGAAATGCCACCACCCTCAGGCTTTACCAAAACACCTCCCCACTGTGCCTGACATTCCCCGCTGTGGAACAGTCCACAGCTTCATTAAGCACTTTCTCCCTTCCCTTTTTCATAAATGCAGACCTCTGGAGAGCAAAGCCTGTTAAAAAAACCGCCCCTTTTTGAAGGCCACGCCAGGCAGAGGAAATCAACTTGAGCTGCAGTGTGTTTCGCTCAGCTCAGACTGAGGCAGAGCAGTCACCAGGAATAATTTTTGACTCAACAGTAAGAACTTTCTAACAGCTCTGGACAACATTGGAAGGGGTTCCCTCCCCAGACAGTCGGCTCCCTGCCCCTGGAAGCATTTGAGTGGAGGGATGGGTCTGTTGCTCTGGAGGGGTCCGAGTGGCTTGTGGTTTTTTTTTTTTTTTTTTTTTTTTGAGACAGAGTCTCGCTGTGTCGCCCAGGCTGGAGTGCAGTGGCCGGATCTCAGCTCACTGCAAGCTCCGCCTCCTGTGTTCACGCCATTCTCCTGCCTCAGCCTCCCGAGTAGCTGGGACTACAGGCGCCTGCCACCTTGCCCGGCTAGTTTTTTGTATTCTTTTGAGTAGAGACGGGGTTTCACCGTGTTAGCCAGGATGGTCTCAATCTCCTGATCTCGTGATCCGCCCGTCTCGGCCTCCCAAAGTGCTGGGATTACAGGCTTGAGCCACCATGCCCGGCCGCTTGTGTTCTTAATCACATCCCCAGGGGAAAGGGTGGCAGGGCCAGCCCACGCACGCCAACCCCACCGTCCAGCACAGGAAGCTCACGTTACCTTGAAAACGCTTCATCCAGGCCATCATCCAGCTCCTTGGGGAAAACAAAGCAGGAGATAAGAACTCTGTTTGGGGGAGCCCACGCTCACAGCTGGAGCTTGTCCCAGCCCTGGGTAAGCTACAGGGAGACTCAGGACACAAGCTCAAGGTGGGCGCCTAGAGGCACGGGCTCAGGCAGGCCTCCTGCCTGGGTGCATTGCCAGCATCTCAGCCCAAGGACCCAAAGCTGGAGACGTGGGAGAGGAGAAAGGGCATGTCCTAGAGTGCCTGGAGACCCAGGTGGGTTCAGTGCCCTGCTCCACTGCTACCTGCCCACAAGACCTTGGGCAAGTCACTGCTCCTCTTTGAAACTCAGCTTGTCCTTCCGTAAGAGGAGGGCGTTGGACCTGATAATTTCTATGGCTTTCAAATTCCAAAAGGAAGAGGGTGGGGAAGGAAGTTTTCTTGCCTTCATTTATTTCCAAAAGCCAAGCCAAAATTCCAAGCTCATGAGGGATAACTGATGCCAGGAGTCCCATAGCCTCAGTGGAAGAGCGATGGGTGAGGTCCCTCCATGGCCTGCTGGTGAGGATGGGCAAGTGGCAAGGGTAGTTCCTGAACAGCAGAGAACAGGCTCAAGGGACACCTGGGGAACTCCCAGTACCCAGATTTTTAAAAATTAAAGAGACAAGTTAACATGTGATTCTGCAATGGATCCTGGGCCAGAAACAGGACACCGGAGGGGCACCTGGAGAAACGTGTAAGTTCTACAGATTATACACAACCGCATGGTATCGTGTTTGTTTCCTGATTCTGACCACTGTAATGTGGTTATGCAGGATGTTAAAAATTGGGGAATCTGGATGAAGGGTGAACAGGAATTCTTTGTACTACTTTTATAACACAGTCTGAAATTATTTCCAAATGAAAAATTAAAATTTCAGGTTCCTCGGGGAGATTCTGTTGGCAGAGGTCATCACCCTCACTGAGATGAAAAAGTTGAGACAGAGAGGTCAGGGGGCTTGTCCTGAGTCCCTGAGGGAGTCAGGGACCAAGCTGGTGACTGCCCAAGTCTCTGGGTCCTCATTCAGGCAGCTGAGGGGGAGGGGTGTCAGCAGCGAGCTCTGCCACGCCAAGAACAAGGGCGCCTTTGGCTGGTCTTGTGGTGGGCAGAGCCGTGGACGCTCAGGCCAAGAGGCCAAGCATTGTGAGGAGACAGCTGTGCTGGGAGCCAAGCTTGTTGGGGACGCAGCCTCAGGTTCAAAAGGGACATTGTTTATTCCCCATCCTAGGCCTGGGCACTACCGGGCTGGGTCTGGTCCTCCCAGAGGCCCACAAGTCACGGGTCCCAGGGCCTGGTCCCTGGAGCAGCCCAAGGCTTGCCCAGAGGTCAGGCTGAGGATCACCAATCTGCTGGCCACACAACCACTCACCCAGACAACACTGCTGCCACTCAAGGCTTGTGGCCGTGGCACCTCGTCCACGTTGGTGGTGTTGGCGCTGACCGTGGACAGCGGGGCCTTAGCCGTCTCCTCTAAGTCCAGCAGGTTCCCAGTGGCGACCACTGTGAGGGATCCGGTCAGGTTGTCAGTGGGAGATCAGCCTCTTCCTTCCTGGCCCCCTCCTGGGCTGTCCTGGCCCTGACCCTCCCCTCTGATGTGGCCTTGCCCAGGCTTCCTAGCAGAGCCCAGCCCTGGCACCTCCCCACAGCAAATGCACAGCTGCCCACAGAGTGAGAACCTGACTAATGGCTTAGACTGAAACTTTTGTATTCACAATAGTTAAGTTTTCTTAAGCAACCACACAACAGTATGTTAAGTATATACAAAGGTAGACACATATTTATATATTTGCATAGGGATATATCTCTAGAAGAAAATGTACTAAAATGAGTTATTTCTTCCCCTTATCTACATTTTCTAATTAATCTGTAATGAACGTGTATTATTTATCCAACAAAACAAAAGTGGAAAACCAAGAGGCTGCCCCAGCCCAGGCAGGAGCGGGAGCCCCTGGTGAAGCACAACCCCAACACCCCACGGCAGAACCCCGCTTCCCTGTCAGGACTCACAGCTCTTCAAGGCGGGGGTGCAGTCTCGGCGGACCCCCAGGACATCCCCTCCCTCTTGGCTGGCTTTGTCCCTCTTCTCTTTCTCTGCAGGATGAAGGCACAACATGTTGGAGCCTCAGACCCCAGCACTCCGTCCCCAGCAATCACCGGGCAGGGGTGATTAGCTGTGGCCAATCTCAGGGGACAGTTTCAGGTTTCCAGCCAGGAGGAAAGAAACCTTTCGGATGTCAGTTAATCCTCACAAGCACCCTTGGGGAGGGAGACAGCTGTTCCCATTTTTCAAATGGGAAAACTGAGAGTCCGAGCGGTGAAGGGACCGGCTCACAGTCACAAGTCAGGTGGGTGATAAAGCAGGAAGTCCGTCCAGGTCTGACCCCAGGGCCTTTACGTGTCTCCCCACCTCCCACCACACCCACAATGTAGATGCAAAGTCTCACCTTCCTTGGACACCTGCCAAAACTCAAAGGCGACTTTGAAGGCCTGGGCTACGGTGAGGGTAACAGCCTGTGCCTGAAAACAGGAAGTGGGGGTGGGGAGGGGTGCAGCGTCAGCCAGGGCAGAGCAAGTCTGCACTGGAGGGCTGGGGACTCCAGGCCAGGACCCCTGGCTCCCTCCCTGCAGCTTCTGCAGCTCCATCCCAGGCTCTGGAATGCCTCCTGGGCAGAGAAGGGTCCTGGCCCTTCCCAGGTCTCCAAAGCAGCCTGGCGTGTCATAAGGCCACAGCCTCGCAGAGGCAGTAGGGGCCTCATCTTTACCATCTCTGGTCCCACCAAAGTTCTCACCCTCACTCTAGGGCCCCTGCCTGCAAAGGCTGCTCACCTCCATGTCTTTTCCTTCCCCTTTGGGCTTCCCTAAATTCAATGAACTGTGAGGCTTACTTCCTCCAAGCCCTTCCTAATTACCTGTGGACTTAACTTAGCCCTTGGAATTGGAGAACAGAAATGCCAGAATTGGAAGGGCCCAGCCATTGCCCCAAATGAGCCACAGCCAGAGAGGTGAAAGTTAGGTTCCTGTTGGGACTATGCCAGGGTTTATAACTGGATCCCACAGAGTAGAAGGCTTGTCAATTTCCTGATAGAAGCAAGATGTCAATGAAGACCCGGGGACCAAAACCGGTCAGTGCTATACCCACCTGTAAGGAAGGGCCACACCTCGGCCCTTCACCCGGGGGGAACTCCCCCCACACCCCTCCAAACGCGGCTCAGGTATCTGTCACCACCTCTCTCCTATCACCAGCCCCAGCCTCCTCTAGCCCCACCCACCTCCCTCTGGCACCATGCATGTGAAAGTGTCACTGGCTCCCCTGCCTGTGTTTCCCCCAGCTGTGTGCACCCTAAAAGCAAGAATCAGTCTGAACACCCCCGCCCTCTGGAGCGGGCCAAAGCCTCCCAGAGGTGGCAACAATGCTGGGTGAATTATATTCATCTGAGGGGCAGGCCTCATTCCAGCCAGGACCTATCCCCAGCCCATATTCATCTCAACACCTTGCTCTCTCAGCCATTCCAGTCCAGGGTTAATCAACTCAGCTTCTGGGAGTGGAAGTCCCAGAGTTCGCAGCTACAGCCGGAAACATCTAGCTTCCTTCTGAAGCCCTGGCTGAGAGAAGAAAGCACCAGCCTCTTTCAAGTTCACAACAAGTTCAGGCCTTACCAGCTTCAGCCCCACTCCCTGCCCTCCCCCAGACAACTCAATTTAATTGAGAGACGGACCTGCGGCCACTGCCTTTAAAACTCCTTTAAAAAAAATATTTAAAATTCCTAAACAAACTGACGGATCCGTGCCAATTAAACTTCACAAAAGTATAAAACCTCATTTGAATGTCTCCAACATTTACATTTTTGATGGAAGTACAGGCACTTTATGGCAAAACTTAAATATGGTAATTAAGTATGAAACTCTTCGCAGCTGTTTACAATTTAAGCTGTCATATCTGAATCAAGTTTAATAGACCCAGTTACCATTGAGAATTGCCCATGAACTAAAAATATGGGCTAATTACCAGCCCAAGTCAGATCACTATCCACCCAAGCAAGGGCTGGTCACCCAGTGTGGCAGGGATATGAAAACGCCATTATTTAAGCCTGCTGGAAATCTGGAGACACAAGCTTAGACTGCAAAGGCTGTTCACCTCCATGTCTTTTCCTTCCCCTTTGGGCTTCCCTAAATTCAACGAACTGTGAGGCTTACCTCCTCCAAGAAGCCCTCTCTAATTACCTGTGGACTTAGCCCTTGGAATTGAAGAACAGAAAATTGGAAGGCCCAGCCCTTCCAATTTATGCCCTTCCAATTCTGTTTGCATAAATCTGCTTGTTCATTTGCATACATTCCTACCCTTTTGCCCTGAAGTCCCAAGCTGTAAGTTAAACCGAATACAACCCAAGAGGTGGATGTGTGCAGGTGGCTGCAAGCCCAGGCTGGGCAGGGACTGGGAGTGGGGTGGGCCCTGCTTCCTGGGGTGGCTGCAGGAATCCGAGGACCAGCATTAGGTGAGGGACTGCTCGGGCCTGCCCAGGCGGGATGCCCGCCCCTCCTGACTGCCTCTGGCCTGCAGGTCTGCCTTACTATCCTGACTGGATGCTACCTTGCCCAGTTTTTCACATTCCTTGTTCCCAGGAACCAGGCTGCTCATGGCTCAAAAGGGGCCAGAAACTCGGACCAAGACAGCCATGTGCCCCCCAGGTGGAAATGCGGGTAGCACTTTGCTTACCATCAGCCCAGGCCCAGCAGCTGCATGACACCTTCACTTTGGAGCCCAGAGGCCTCCCAGTTGGGCAGATGGAAGGGAGTCCTTGGAGGAACCCAATGCTGGCTGTGCCCAGCAGCACCAGGGAGGGGAGAGCTGCGGTGGTTGTGCTGCCCCAGAGTTCAACTGACTGGTGGGTGATGTAGAAAGGAGCCCCTCTCCCCCAACCTGAATGGGTCATGAACTCATTCAGGCAGCCCAGCCAGGAAGAGTAGGGATGTGGAGGCCCCCAGTAACAATGAGTGCGGTTTTGTCAACATCCCGATTCAAGTCCCTCAACATCCCGATTCAAGGCCCTCAACATGCCGATTCAAGGCCCTCAACATCCTGATTCAAGGCCTGCTGCAAACGGAAGCCGCCTCACCACCCACCCCAGCGGAACCATTTCACTTTGCCCCTCTGTGCTTGCACGTGTGTTAATCCCGTGCTGCTGTGCACTCACCACCCACCACCCCACCCCCTTCGTTCGGCCTAGCAAACTCCTCCTGGCTCCTCAGCCTTCAAAGCCCCATTCCAGGTGTCTGTCTCAGGGAAGTCTCACTGACTCTCCCGTGAGATTTACTAACTTCCACCCCAGAACTAAGCCCCCCTGGGTTCCAGATACTGAAGCTGGACTGTTCTCTACCGCCTTGGATGTTTTCTCCATGGCGCAGACCAGGACAGACGGTGCCAAACATCTGTGGCGGAGCTGCCAGCAGGTGCGGAGGCTGACACAGCCATTCCATCTCCTGCCTCCCCCAAGAACACTTCCACTTAGCTCAAGAATCTAGGATTTCCAACATGACGAGGTCATCAACACACTGTCAGCCCGGGCTGGGCTAAGACCTTGAGGCAGCAGGTGATGTATTTACACCATGCTGGGCTAGGCTGTCTTGGAGAGGGCTCCACAGGGCCCCTGAAGCAGGGAGGCCAGGTAGCAAAGGGTAGGGAGATAGATAAGCCACTCCAGCCATCAACCCAACCCCAGAGAAGAACACACTAAGAAAGATGAAGAATTTGGGTGTCTGGCAGGGGCCCTTCCTGCTGCCCGGTCAGGGCTCTGCAGTCAGTGGCTGAGCAGTGGCCTGGCTCTGTTTTCCTCGGTAATTCACCCCATGGCCTGAGAGTAGGCTGATTTCGCTCAAGTCTGTGTGAAGTCCTCTGACCACAGGCCAGGTCTCCCTTGTAAGAGCTGGGCCTGCACCTCTCTTACTCCCAGACCCCTCATCCCAGAGGAAGCCTCTGCACTGTCGAAGGCCCCTCCCACCCAAGGCCAGCTGTCCCTGCCCAGGGCCTGCCCTGGTCAGCAGGGAGGAAGAGATGAACAATGGGGACATAAGGAGCTGTATTTTTAAGTCTGCGTGGGCTCCTAAAAGACAAAGCCACGAGTCACATCTGTGGGAACTCACAGGAGATGCCACAGCAACTTGGAGCCCTGGGACCTCACGAGGCAAATGTCCAGTGACACTGAGTCTGCAGGAAAGAAACAAGGTGTTCAAAAGAACCTGGGGCCTTTCAGAACAACCCTAGAGGTCACTGAGGCAACCTTCTCATTCTGCTGACAGGCAAGCGGCCCAGAGAAGGGCAGGATCTTCTCCAAGGTAACACAGCAAATCAGCCAGGATCAGATGGCTAGACTGTCTCCTCCTATAGTGCCTCTTCCATGACACCTGTGGTGGGCTGAATTGTGTGTCTGCCCCCAAGATGTCCACATCCTAATCCCTGAGACCTGTGAATGCTGCCTTACACAGCAAACGGGCTTTGCAGATGTGGGTTAAGGATCTGGCGATGGAGATTATCCCAGATTACTCAGTGTGTCCAAATGTAATCACAAGGAGTGTTGAGCGGGGTAGGAGAGTCAGAGCTAAAAGCAGCAATGTAACAACGAAATCAGGAGACCGGAAGATGCTACATTGCTGGCTCAGAAGATGAGGACAGGCCCACGAACCTGGAAGTGCAGGTGGTCGGTCTCTGGGAGGTAGAAAAGGTAAGGAAATGGATTCTCCCCTAGAACCTCCAGAAAAAAACGCAACCCTGCCAACCTAGTTTAGACTCCTCATCTACCTCTGTCACAGAATACATTTTTCTTCTCCATAAGAGAATAAATTTGTGTTGTTTTAAGGCACTAAGTTTGTCATCATTTGTTACAACTTACACAATATCTGAAGTGTGCCCTGATGGGCAGCAGGAAGCCTGGGGACCACAAAGACTGTGATGGACCTGACATGTCCTTTGATGACAGCGGAGGGAAGGGGATCTTGTCTCCTATAGGTTCCAAGGGCTACAGGGCATGGGGACTGGGGCTCTGAGCTGTCAACAGAGGTCAACAGGTGTCAATGCTCCATCAACGGGTGTCAGGAAGCACCTTATAGGAAGGATGCTCAGATCCTGGGGGTCTCAGAAACAAAAGCTGCAATGCCAAAGTTTGACCCACTCCACTCCTTGCCCCCAAATTCAGGACGAATCCCCAGTGACCACCAAGGTTCCCACTCATCCCGGCTAAGATGTGGTCAGGGGTGTCCTGGAAATGAGACAAGGAACTCTGAATTTCCCAGTCACGCAGGGAGGGGAAGAAACGTGGGTTTAAACCCCCCCTCTAACCCTGACTGGTTGTGTTACCCTCAGCAAGACAGCTGGCCTCTGGGAGTCTGTTTCCTCATTGAAAATTTAAAAAAACAAGAAAAAAAAATGGAGAGAGTAACAGTTCCCACCTTGCAGAGCTGTGAGGATTAAACGAGTAAAGACCTGGAACCTAGCACTGGAATGTACACACAGGAGGCACCGAGAGATGGTCACTGCCCTCCACACTCCGGTCACAGCTGGAATGGACACGCAGGAGGCACCAAGAAATGGCCATTGCCCTCCTCACTCCGGTCACAGCAAGCCCAGTTCTCTGATGGCTCTCGCCTTTGCCTTCCACCCCAGGCCCCCCGATCTCCCATCTCCGAGGACCAATCCCTACAAGGCCCTGCACCCCTAGACCATATTAAAGACAGCAGATCCAAAACAGCCTCAACCCAACAAATCACGTTACAGAGAGAAAGGGGCCCAGACAAACACTGGGGACACGGGCTAGCCACTGCCCACACCAGGCTGACTGCTGGGTCATCTGCCTGCCGGCAGCCTCACCACTGTACCACTTAGCTCTCAGCACCCACTTGGGGTTCCCAGGGATTTCACCCTCTTCTTCAGTAATGGTCACCTTTGGGTCCTGCCTCCCACACCAGACAGCCCCCTACCCACAGCAGGGCTGCCAAGGCCGCTGGAGCCTGCCCCAGCCCCAGCCCTCCCCGCTGACCATCTTCCGCTTGGTGCAGAGGAAGGCGTGGCACTCGAGGCTCTGGTTGTGCTGGCTCTGTGCGATGTATGCAAACACCTTGTCATGCATCTTGTCTGCCGTGCAATAGGAGATCCTGAAAGGCAAGGAGGAAGTATCACCGGACCTGGCACGGGGGCCTGAGCACATGTGGGATGCCCTGTAGGGCAGCTCCCCTGAGTTGCAGAGAACCTGCTATTCCCACTCCACCAGGGCAGACTCTGAGAGTCCAGCCTTGGCCTCCAGGGTGGGTACCTAGGCCATCTGTGCAGGAGGGGCCGAGGCCAGGCAGGAAGGAAGGAATGGGGTAAAGACTGGAAGCAGGGCACTTCCCCTCTTCCTCCCATCCCACACTGAGCCACACCCCAAAACAGTAATAGCTGAACCCTTACCACATACCAGGCAATGTGCCAAGAGCTTTCTAGATCTCGCCTCATGTAATTCTCAAAGCTACCCTCTGAGATGGGTTCTATCACTATCCACGTTTTTCAGATGAAATAAACTGAGGCTAAAGACCAGAGCCCAGACCTGAACTCACTTGTAGGACTCCAGAGGCCATGACTGCCATGCTGCCTCTTAAGGCTATGTGCCAACTGGATGGAAGGGGAAGCAGAAAGCAGGACACTCCCCTGCTCACCGATGCCCTTCACCTGGCCTCCCCCATCCCACCTGCCCTCCGACCCATGCCCCCGCCCAGAGGTCTAGTGAGATTCGGGTCCGTCTCTCTCAGGGTGGCTGGGACCATTTGCATGTTCTGGAGCTGTGGCCAGGGGTGGAAGAGTTGGGAGTAGGGGTGGGGTGTGTGTGTGATAAGGACCCAACAAGGAGTCCTAGTGGGCCTGGGAGGAGACACACAGCAACTCCCTCTGCATGGAGCACCCTCTCTGCCCCCAGTCGCCACCCGTAACCTTGGGGCCACGCAAGCCCTCGGCCTCCCACCCTCCCTCACATGTCTGGTCCCAGCTCGTTGCCTCTAGTCAGCCTCAGAGTCTCAATAGGGGAGGGGGCGGCAGCCCAGAGGTGGGACCAGAGTGCCACAGACCCATCCCTCAACCACGTGGCCCCAGCTTTAATCACAGGCATCAACACTCCAGGTGGGCAGAGCGTGAAGGTGCCAGGGCCCTTCCTACCTATTCTCCATCCCAGGGGATCCAGCTTCCTGCTCTAAATGTTACTGGGTCCTTGGTATCAATAAACTAGATCCTGTTATTCCTCAAGCCCCAGCAAGGCGCCGCCTCCCCTGGGAGGCCTTCCTGGATTTCCCCGGGCAGACCCTCTCCTTGCCTTCTTGGAAAACACTATGCTCTATCTCCTGTTTCCTCCCAACTATTCCCAATTAGAGTGGAAGCTCGAGGGCATGAGCAGGATTGGAGTCCTCATCTGGCACAGATGTTGGCAGAACAGGTATCTGAAACTGTTGACTAAAGGCAGGCAGGTATGATCAGGCCAGTGAGAGGAAGACATCACCCAGGCCCCCACAACACACATCTATCCACCCTACTACTGGCCTGTGCACCAACGGGCGGAGCCATCTGCTTGGAGACAAAGCAAGAGGGTGGGGGGATGCCTGGCAGATGGGAGCCTGCTGGACAGGGCTCTGGCCTGGGTATCCTAGTTCCAGTTCAGCTACTACCTCACCGTGCAGCCGTAGACAATTCCCTCTCCGGGCCTCAGATTCTCCATCTGTAAAATGGACCTGAGCTATCCCTTCCGGTTCTGAAAAACTACAACTGACCAGCTGAGAGAGGTGGGGATAGCCTGAGGCTCTAAGGGCTGACCAGAGGACCCACTAGAGAGACCATCCATACTGACCTCAGATCTTGGCTGAGGCCTCCCTGGAATGCCTGGCCAGATACCCAGAGCTGAGCCGCTGCATTCACAGAAGGAGGAAAAGGCAGTGACTCTGCAGTTCTCTGCTCCAAGCCCGGCTCAGAGGCATGCTGGTGGGGACTAGGGGGCGGGGCACAGGCAGGCTCAGCTGTCTTCTGTAACTGGTGATGATGACAGCAGCAGCTGCCACTTAACCAAGTGCTCATCGTGAGCCAGGTGCCATGCACTCGGCATTTCCTAACAGCGCTGTGCAGCAGGACCTGTTCCCACCCCCATTTTACAGATGAGAAAACTGAGGCTCCAATGTCACCCAGGTAGGAAACGGTAGAGCCTGGATTCAGATGGGACACTCCAGTGGCAGAGTCGATGGGTCAACCCCATGCTGAGCGTACCTGTATATGGACACGTTCTCAATGAGCTGGTTGGTGAGGCTGTCTGTCAGGATAATTCCCCGTGGAGACACCTTCAGAGTCACCTTCTGCAGCTTCTTCCCACTGGCCTTAGCCTTGGGGCAGACAGGAGTCAGAGGAGTCTGCCAGCCTCACTTGAGACCCACGCTTATGGCCTACACTGCACTGTTCCTAGGACCCAGACGCGGGGCCCATCTCAGCTCAGGCGACTGGCAGCGGCATGGGGAAGACCACTCAGCCAGCACCCTCTTGTAACAGAAACAGGAGCAGCATCTGCTGAGCACCAGCTATCTGTCAGGCACCGTGGACCTCGAGTCATCCTCCCTCTCCCCAGAAGGACACACAGCTAGGAGGGCACACAGACTCGGCACTGAATGAGCTAGCACAACCCAGCAGGATGACTCTTGGGGACTCTGTTCCATCCACTGAGCTGAGGGGTCCGAGGCCACCAAGGGAAGTGGATTTAAAAGGCCCACCCTTGCTCAAAACTAGGGAGGGGGCAATGTGCTCTCGGATGTGCTATGCTGTCTCTCAGGCCGCTGAGCAGGTAGTCAAGGGAAAGCAACCTCCCCACCCTTCCTGGTGCTGATAAGTCACCAATGCATTGGTAGGGAGCCTGAGGCAGGGGTGGGGAGGCTGGAAGAGGTCTTAACGGCTGGAGGGAAGCACCAATGCATCAGCAGGGAGCCTGAGGCGGGGGTGAGGAGGCTGGAAGAGGTCATAACGGCTGGAGGGAAGCCACTGACCGTGACCTTGCAAGTCCAGTGGTTCCCTCTATCAAGGCCCAAAAGCTGGATGGAAGGAGAATCAAGGGCAGGGCCAGGCTCAGACACACCCAACTGGAGTAACAAGCTGGGACAAGGGCACCCTGGGAAGAAGCTGGTCCTTGGTCCCTGGTCCCTCCACCCTTCCCAACTGGGGTGCTCACCGTAGCCACAATCCTCTTGATGGCGGCGGCTGACAGCTCCTCGCCCTTGGGCTGCTCCACCAGCGTCATGCCCAGGTATTTGAGGCTGAACAGCATCCCCTCCAGCAGCGTCTCCCGAGTGTCCGTCCAGTTCTCAGGCAGCTCTGGGGTAGGACAGGGAAGGCCCTCAGACCCTGCGGCTCAGGGCCCACCACCAGCAACAGCTCTCACCAGCCTTCTTTCCTAGGAAACCCCAGCAAGTTGGCTGGGGGTCTCCCCCACCACTACTGTCATTTTTTTTTTTTTTTTTTTTTGAGACTGAGTTTCACTGTCACTCAGGCTGGAGTGCTGTGGTGCGATCTCAGCTCACTGCAACCTCTGCCCCCCAGGTTCAAGCAATTCTCCTGCCTCTGCCTCCCGAGTAGTTGGTCTCGAACTCCTGACCTCAAGTGATCTGCCTGCCTCAGCCTCCCAAAGTGCTGGGATTACAGGCATGAGCCACCGCGCCGGGCCTACTGTCACTTTTAATAAAAGGCTAAAGCTTTCTGGCACATATCAAGGCTCCATGTAAGCAGCTTTACCTAAAATGTTCTCATTAATCCTCCTTAAGAACCTATGAGGTCAACACTTTTATCAAACCCATTGACAGACAGAGACATGGAGGCCATGGAGACTCAATCACATAACCAAGTCCAGAGAGCCAGGAAGTGCAAGAGCCAAGTTTCGAGCCCCGTTTTCAAGCCCGGAGCCCTCTTTACTTCAATGCTACCACTTGTTGAGGGCAAATCATACCATTTCTTACTGAATCCTTAGTGCAATCCTGTGAGATAGTGATTCTACAGATTAGAAGACTGAGGCTCAGGGAGGCAAAATCATGAGATGAAGGCCACATACAATGAGTCAGACTTCAACCTTGAGTGGTTCCCACGGCCCCAGCCTGCACTGCTTTCCTCCCTGTGCGCATCGGTAGAGACCAACGGGGGCGTGCGGGAGGCTGGGAAGGAGACAGTAGCCCAGGGAGAGCAGGGTAGGGTAAGGCTAGGTGGGGAGAGGAGAAGGTGATTTCCCAAATCTGAGAAGGCTCGAGACCCACTCTGCTTCCCACTCCCTGGATGGTCCTAGGGAAGTCCCCTCTCCTCTTTGGGACTAACACTGCATCCCCCTCTCTGGGCTGTGGCAATGGCACAGAGCAGGGTCCACAAGGAGAGTCCTCTAAAAGCACAAACCACACACATGTCAGGAAATAAGGGGATGAGCCTGCCTCACTGGTGGGCAAACAGACCAGAAGGGACATGTGGAAAGAGTGCCCCACCACATGGGTGAGGGCCTTGCGGAGGCAGATGGGCATGAGGTGAAAATCGGGCTATGCTGGTGGTTTCTGACCATCCCCGGCTCCTCGGAAGGAGATGAACAAAGATGAACGAACACCCCACACTTCCACCTGCCAGAGCCCCTGCCTGTCCTCTACCATCCCCTCACAGATGCTGTGCTTGTAGGAGGTGTTTGTTATGACTGCACCATTTTACAGATGAGAAAGAAAACTGCTCTTCAGCCTCACACACAATCTTGTTAAGGACAGAGCAGGATCCAGCCAGGGATCAGTTTCCAGGGGCCATGAGAGGTAGCCAGGGCCAGCTTCCCTAGACCATCCCCCAGGGAGGGGCTGGGAGATGTCCTGGGCCCTCCCTACCTCTGCCTGGGGCCTTCCTCACTGGCTCCGATTGAAAAGCCACAGGAAGAAAGTTTAGGTATCGCTGGTTCCAGGGCAGCTGAGGCTCCAGCAGGGATGTGGGCCCCTACTACAAGGCTCCGCTTGGCTCTGGAGTTCTGGCTCTGTCAAGAGCAGAAGTCTGGGTCCAGGTGGCATCACCAGGTCCCCTACCCAGTCTGGATCCCTGCTGCCCCTCTCAGCTCCTGTCCTAGAGCTCTGGGCCTCCAGGGGCTCTGGTCCCCCTCTCCACAGCCAGAAGGGGCCTTGTACACCCACATTTCTCTGGATTTGCCTTGAGCAAGCCACTGTCCCTCTCTGAGGCCATTTCTTCATCTGAAAGAGGGTACAGGTGTCAGGGCTGCGGAGGGTTATACAGGAACTTACAGATGTGCCCAGTTCCCCTCATGCCTTGAGATCAGGTGAGCAGGGACTTACTGACTGTCATCTAGAACCTGGCATGCAGCTAGTGCTCAATACTTGCTCAAGGAAGAAATGATGAGGACAACCCCATCCCATCCCCAGCCCTGGCCCCAGGCCCACTGCTCCTTCAGCTCTAGCCCTCATCCCCGGGCTTCCACCTCAACATAAGGCCGGGCCCCCACTGAGATGACCCCAAAGCCCAACATGACCTTATCCTCTGTCCCATCAAGCACAAGCCTATTCCATTTGATCCTCCAAAAGAATGTGAAAGTCCCTGAGGTGTCCCCAGTCCTGCGTTGAGTGATGGGGCCCTGAGCAACTCAGACACAGACCCTGCTCTCAAGCTCAGAATAACAGCACCATCATCAGGGAAAAACAGCGCTTTCATATAACAAAGATACAACGATAATAAAGCTGTAGCTATTACCATCACCTCTAACACTCACAGCCACCTTGCAAGCAGGCATTCTTTCATTCCCATTTTACAGAGAGGAAACAGACTGACTCTAAAGCCCAAGCTCCTGACCATGAGACCATACTACCTTATCATGCAGCAAACTACCTTAATTCTAGCAAAAGATCAGGTTTTTGGAGGTGGAGGCATTTCTTCTCACCTGGAATTAGGTATTCCTAATACCTAAGGTTTCCCATCTGCAGGCTAGGATATCCAGACCACCACTTTCAACCTGAGACCCATCTAAGCAAGGACAGCAATGGAGAGAAGTGATACTGTGCCTATGGCCCGTGCCCTTGGCAGACATTGATAATCAATTGCAGCTCTACTTCCCTCTGACCGTTTCTCAGCACAAGGCCCCAGGCGGGCAATACTGATTGATCAAGTTTTGAATATCTCATTATCCATTCCTACCCCTGGCAAACATTCTCCACCCTCCCTCTCCAGCCCCCATTTTCATGCCCCCATTCTCCCACTTCCTCTGGTTCAGCCCTTTCCTGGCCCCTTTCCAAAGCCACTTCCGCTCCCTCCATTCCAAAAACCCAAAGCCTGCCAAGGTCACTGGTGATCTCTTTGCTGTCAAAACATTCCCTAGTCCTCCCTGACCCCTGAAATGTTCAGCATTTTTCTGCATTCCTCCTTCCCTGGACTGACCCTTCCCCTCCTCTAACCACGTCCTTACAGACTGGTTGCCACTCATCAGCCTTAGGCCCTCAGCTCAAGCCCCTCACTTGATAGATGATACAACTGAAGCCCAGACAGGGACAGGACCTGTGCAAGGTCACAGGGCAAGTCAGAGGGCCCCTCCTCACCCCACCCAGCCCACTATAGACAATCCCCACGATGACCAGTGACTGTGAGGGGATTTTAAGTTTCCCCGTCTCTTCTCCCACAATATCCCTACACGCTCCCTACCCCAAGAAGCTCCAACCATGCAGAGCTTCTTCCTAATAATGTCACATTTACTGTCTAACTTCTGTGCCTTTGCTCAGGTAGTTCCCTCTATCCCAAATGCCCTTTCTTCACTTGATCAAATCCCACACATCCAACCTCTTCCAGGAAGCCTCCTTTGAGGCAATGTAGCCTTGTGGTTAACAGCAAGGGCCTTAATCCTAAGATATCAGCTCCGATGCTTCATGTCTGAGCCATTTTGAGTGAGTTCATTACCTTCCCTGAGCCTCAGTTTTCTCATATTTTAAAATGGGGGAAACAACAGCTCTGACTCCTGGGGGCTGTTGTGGCCCGTGGATACGTTTATAGAATTTAGCAGAGAGGCAGGCCCATCGTAGGTGCTCAGTACACCTTCCAATGGGGCCTCATCCCTCCTGTGGGCAGGCTGCTGGTGCCTTTCTTGAACGTAAATCTCTTCTTCCTCCCGCAGCCACACCACCCACTGCCAAGCACTGCCCGCACGTCTCTTCCCTTTAAAGAACCTGCCATTCATGTCTGCTTCCCCAGGACCTGGCACGGAGGTGTACGCCTGCCCAGTGTGGCCGTCCAGTCTGGTCCTGTTTCTCCCTTGTCCCCCATGTTCCCAGGCCCCACTGAGATGCTCCTTTCTCTCTAGGAAGCTGCTTCCCTCCTGGGGTCTGTGCACGTGACTCATCTCTTCACTAGAGCGTAAGGCCCCTCATGCCCACACCCTCCCCACAGAAACCAGCACCTGGGAGCTCTCAGTGAAGGCTCACTGGTAGGGCTCAGGACCACACCCGCCCCCCTTGCCAGCCACAGCCGGAGGCCTTATTCCCGGTGCTCCCGGAGGACCCGGGCAAATACAGGCCTGAGTGCACAGCCCTGTTCCGGTCCTAGTTATTTTTGGCCCTGTAGTGGGTAATGACTGTGCTATTTTAACGCTGCAATTTTACAGATGACCTGCTCCCGGAGTTAGCTGGGGACAGACCATATGCCTGGTCTAAATTACAGCTGTGAACACGTGCTCTTTCCTCGTTAAGGTCCCCCCAACCACCCAGGAGTCAGAGCTGGGCTGAATGCCCTTGTGCCCCTTCTGCTGCTCCCAGAGACCCAGCCTGGCTGGTGTGTCTGCAACATGAGAGCTGCAGCCAAACCCAGGGGCCAGGGGAGCCTCTGACCAGGGCTCTGGCCTCCAGTCTCCCCCAGCCTGGTGGGGAAATGGCCTCAGAGGCCAGAATGACAACATCTCAGAAGAGGGCTCAAGCTCTGCCCTGACCTGGAGTGTAGCTGCTTCTCTGGGCTATAATTCTATCTGACAAATGGGTTCAGCCCCTCAGGAGCATCATCAGAAGTTTCTGGATGTGAAAAGTACTAGGAAAATTTTGGAAGTCAAAGCTGTTGAGATTGTTATCAAAAGAAAATAAGTTTTAAAATGATAAATTGCAGCAGCTACCACGTCCTAAGTACCTACTTACACAGTAAGAGAAAAATATGCTATGGGCTCTGGAGTCCGTAGTCACTGAACCTCCCCAGACCTCAGTGTCCTAACTTTAAAACAGAGACAAGACAGGCACAGTGGCTCATGCCTGTACTTCCAGTGCTCTAGGAGGCCGAGAAGGAAGGATTGCTTGAGGCTGGAGTTCAAGACCAATCTGGACAACATGTTAACACCTCATCTCTACAAAAAATAACTAGCTGGGCATGGCAGTTGTGCACCTGTAGTCCTAGCTACCCAGGAGGATCCCTTGAGCCCAGGAGGTCGAGGCTGCAGTAAGCTATGACCACATCACTGCATTCCAGGATGGGCAACAGAGTGAGACCCTGTCTCAAATAAATAAATAAATAACAGGGGGCCGGGCGCAGTGGCTCAAGCCTGTAATCCCAGCACTTTGGGAGGCCGAGATGGGCGGATCACGAGGTCAGGAGATCGAGACCATCCTGGCTAACACGGTGAAACCCCATCTCTACTAAAAAAACACAAAAAACCAGCCGGGCGAGGTGGCGGGCGCCTGTAGTCCCAGCTACTTGAGAGGCTGAGGCAGGAAAATGGCGTAAACCCAGGAGCCGAAGCTTGCAGTGAGCTGAGATCCGGCCACTGCACTCCAGCCTGGGCAACAGAGCGAGACTCCGTCTCATAAATAAATAAATAAATAAATAAATAAATAACAGGGACAATAGGAGTATCCACCGCAGACGTGGTGGCTCACGTGTAATCCTAGCACTTGGGAGGCTGAAGCAGGTGGATCACTTGAGGTCAGGAGTTCAAAACAGCCTGGCCAACATGGTGAAACACCGTCTCTACTAAAAATACAAAAAAATTAGCTGCGCATGGTGGCGGGCACCTATAATCCCAGCTCCTTGGGAGGCTGAGGCAGGAGAATCACTTGAACCAAGGAGGTGGAGGTTGCACTAAGCCAAGATCCCAAGGCTGCACTCCAGCCTGGGCAACAGAGGGAGACTCCCTCTTAAAAGAAAAAAAAAAAAAAGAGTATCCATCCATGGGATTGTCTTGAGGATGAATTGAGTTCACACCTGAGGTGAGCTTAGAACCCTGTCTGGTACATACCAAGTATCACAAGTGTGAACTACTGTCATTACCAATGGTCAAATGCAAAGAGCTTTAACATGTCCATGGCCATTCTCATACTGAAAGAAGAGTCCAGGATAGATCAGTGTTCCCATTTCACAGATAGAGAAGCCCAGAGGAGTCTGACCATGGCTCACAATCGACAGCACTGGGACTCCAGTCCACACCTGCCTCCTGCAGCCCAAGCCCCTTGGTGGGATCAGGCAGAGCTCTGTAGGGCTGCTCAAAAAGAGTATCTGACCCTCAGTGGGCAGTGGGTGACCTCTGACTCCTTCAAGCCACATGCCCCTCACACAGCCCCCAGGCCCGTGAGAAGCAGAGTCAGGCTCCAGTTCACCATTCCCTGCACTTGCTGTTCCCTCTGGCTGGAACGCTCTTCCCAGACTCCTCCCTCCTGGGATTCACCGGTGTGTACTGAGTCACCTTCTCACAGGGACCTTCCCTGGTGCTGTCAATGGCCGCCCTTATCCCCTCTGCATACCACTTCCATGTTGTGCTGACTGCCAGCACCTGCCGCTCTACCTGCTGGAGATGCTGAGGCCGGTGCAGACTGGGGAATGAAGATTTCCCATCCCCAGGAGTCCTCCCCTCCGGCAAGATGCTGCCCTTCTCTGGGCTTGTTTCTCCACAAATAAGCAATGCTCATGCTAATCCTAGTGAGGACCTTGACGGGGAGGAACAGGTCACAACTGAGAGCAGCGTTCGAGTCTAACTTTAACTCCACTGGCTTCAGTTTGGCCTCAAAACTCAACCACAGGGACCAGGTCCAAGGCCCGGATGGGTCACAACCCTGAGCAAGGTGACCCTAGCACCCCCACCCCCACATACCCCATGGCCCCTGCTCTAACCTGTGGCCACTGCTGTCAGAGGCTGCCAGCCCAACCTGGGGTGGGTGAGGACTGCTCCCAGCTCCTCCCATGGCAGAATCCACCAAGACCTCTGCGCTAGGAATGTGGAGCTCTGCCTCTTAGACGTTCTGTGTCTGGGGCCAATGACTCCAATGCTCAGAATCTCAGTTCCTTTGTCTCTAAAATGGGCCTGCTCTGTCACCTCACAGGAGTCAATGAGAGAATGGAAGCAAAAACACGTTGTAAAACAGTTACAAAAAAAGTAGTTACCATTTACCAAAGTCTTCCTCTATGCCAGGCAAACGCAATTTCATTTGATCCCCACAAACAGTTGGAGGCAGGTACTACTGTTATTTGCAATTTACAGGTGAGGAAATTGAGACCTCATCACGAGGGACAGGTGGGGCTCAGCCCGCCCTCCTTCAGGTCCAGAGGCTCCAGGACAGCACTCTGGGCTTACTGGGGCCTGGAGGAGGGAGAGAGGTGCTCCTCTCCTTTCCTCCAAAGGTGCAGACGAGCTCTGGGCCCCCAAAACCCATCTCACCACAGTACTAATCATGCTGGCGGCGTCCCAAGGATAGGCAGGGGGAAGAGGAGCAGGGCAGAAGAAAGCCACCAGTTAGGAGGGAGCATTATTACCAATAATCTCCTTGATACTCCTGCCAGGTAAGAGTTTTTATCCCCATGTTGCAGATGAGGAAACCAAGCATCAGAAAGGACAAGTGACTTGCCCAAGATTGAAGATGGCAAGAGAAATTCTCGGCCGGGCGCGGTGGCTCAAGCCTGTAATCCCAGCACTTTGGGAGGCCCAGGCGGGCGGATCACAAGGTCAGGAGATCGAGACCACAGTGAAACCCCGTCTCTACTAAAAATACAAAAAATTAGCCGGGCGCGGTGGCGGGCGCCTGTAGTCCTACTCAGGAGGCTGAGGCAGGAGAATGGCGTGAACCCAGGAGGCGGAGCTTGCAGTGAGCCGAGATCGCGCCACTGCACTCCAGCCTGGGCAACAGCGTGAGACTCCGTCTCAAAAAAAAAAAAAAAAAAAAGAGAAATTCTCTTCCACCATCCAAAGTGGCTACCTCTTCTGCGTCCCCAGATTCAGAGATGTTTCTTTCTAGCCTCCCTTCTCTTGCCAGCCCCCCTTCCTTCAAAACCACTTCCCCGGGGGCTGCCCTGCCACACTCCCGCCCTCATTCCTGGAGAAAACCGCAGGATTCTCCCGCTGGAACAGATGGCCATTCTCAGAAGTTCTGGTCAAATCTTGCCAGTTTTTAAAGGGTCTATTTTGGGAGGCAATCAGTGTGATAAACGGTGCATCCCCTGGCCCACTGGCCCAGCCCTAATGGGTCTCTGACACCAGCCCCCACCAGCAGGCACCACCCCACATTCCCAATGCCAATGCCAGTCTCAGTTGGGAGGCGGCCACAGCTGAACAACAGAGTGGGGCCAGAGGAGGAGCAAGGCGGGCCCTCTAGGCCCAGACACGCTGGCATTCCTGGGACCAGGGAGCTCGGGCTCCCCTGGTGGAGCCCTGTAAGGCCAAGAGGGAATGGGGTGAGGGGGTGCTGTACTGTCAGTTGTTTCCTGATGAGGGGAGAGGCTGTGGCCCGAAGTGGCTGGCAGGGAGGTGGGAGTGTGCAGCAGTCCTGGGTTCTGGCTCCAAAACCGGCAGGAAGGTCTGTGTGACCCCAGGCAAGCCACTCTCTTCTCCCTCCCAAACAACGAGACCTGCGACCTGCGCTGGGCTGGTCTTCTGGCTTCAGGGGAAGGTGCCAGGTGACAAGTTCCTTGAGCGTAACCAGAGACAGGGAGAGAAAGAAGCCACGGGGAGGCCCCTCCCAGCCTCCCAGACGCTCCAGGGAGAGGTGACAGCGAGTCTGCCGTTGGCCTGGGCGCCCAAGGGACTTTAGAAGCCCGAAGGGAAAGGTGCGAGAGAAAACAGGTTTCAAAAATAGTTGGGACGCCAGGCTGGTCACCTGGACCCGACTAGAGGAAGGGACGCAGGGGTCTAGACCGCCTCATGTAGGGCTCTCCCGAGGCACCCCAGGCGGGGCCTCTCTCCCAATTTCAAGTACGTACCTGCGACCCCGGGCTCACACCTGGGTGGGTGTCTGGACACCCGGAGTCAAAAGTTGGCCCGGTGGGTCGGACAGGGGGCGGGAGAACGGGCCAGTGGGCTCCCGCCCGCCGCAGCCGCTGGCTGGGGCGCAGGGGTGCGGGACGGGGGCGTCTTTCCAAGCTCCTGCGCCCTTTCCTCCTCCCTCAGGCACCGACGACCAGGGCCTGCCTCCCCCTAGCTGGCCAGGACAGCAGGGCGGGAGGTGCCGCGGGTGGCGGGGGCCTCTTCTCCCAACCTGCACCCCACCCCATGCCGGCTGCACCTGGGGACCTCCAGCTCGGGCTCCTTCCTCAGCGCTGCCCCTCCTCGCAGCGGCACCGAGCGGCCGGGGAGTAGGTGCGCAACTTGACCCCGGCCGACCCCCTGCCCCGCAGGGCCGGGAAAGGGCCACGCCGGGACCTGAGCGCCGGTCAGGCCCCGCCTCTGCCCAACTTGGCCGCACTCCGGGCGCCGGCGGAGGCCCCGCGCGCCGACCCCGGCCCGGCCCGGCTGACGCGCGCACACTCACTGCGGTGCCGGCCGCCGCCCCCCCAGCTCTGCTTGGCCAGGCTGGGGCTCCGGATCAGCGCCCGCCCCGCGGACTTGAGCGCGTCCATGGCCCGCTCCGGCGCCGCCACCGCTGCCGCCACCAAAACTCCGTCAGGAAAAACTTTCCGCCCGGCCCTGCAGCGCGCGGGCTGCGCGCTCCTCCCCTCCCGGCGCGAGCTCCGCCGCGGCGTCCGACGGGGCGGGGCAAGGAAGGACAGGCCACGCCCCCAGGCGGGCCCCGCCCCCGACCGCCGATCTCGCCCCGCCTGGTCCCTGTCCAGGCCCAGGGTCCAGGCCCCAAGAGCTTCTGAGGCCGCCCGAAGGCGCCAGAAGATAGCGAATCGCAAGCCCCAGACGCCCCCGCTTTCCTCCTTCTCCCCAATCCCCACCCCGTAGGAGCCTGCGGGTCTGAGAGCAGCGGCCTAGATTTCCAGTGACCATTTTACAGATGGGGAGACTGAGGGCTCCTCCAATGGTGAAAGGTCTTGTTCAGGGACAAGAACAATGCGATGTCCAGGGCAGTGGGAGACTTAGGAAAGAGTGGAGGCTGTAAATCAGGGATATCCAGACTTTTGGCTTCCTTAGGCCACATTGGAAGAAGTGTCTTGGGCCACACATAAAATACACTAACAACAGCCCATGAGCTAAAAAAAAAAAAATATATATATATATATATATACACACATATATCTCTCAAAAGAAAAAAAAAACTCATGAGTTTTTTTTGTTTTTTTGGTTTTTTTTCCTGAGACACAGTTTTACTCTGTCGCCCAGGCTGGAGTGCAGTGGTGCGATCTCGGGTCACTGCAACCTCTACCTTCCGGGTTCAAGCTGTTCTCGTGCCTCAGCCTCCCGAGTAGCTGGGATTACAGGCATGCACCACCATGCCCGGCTAATTTTTGTATTATTAATAGAGATGGAGTTTTATCATGTTGGCCAGGCTGATCTCGAACTCCTGACCTCAAGTGATCTGCCTGCCTCAGCCTCCCAAAGTGCTGGATGGCTGTAAGCCACCGCACCCGGCCCAAAAAGTCTCATAATGTTTTAAGAACCTTTACGAATTTGTGTGGGGCCCCATTCGAAGCCGTCCTGGACCTCACATGGCCAGTGGGCCACAGGTTGGACAAGCTTGCAGTATAGACCCTTGTTAGGCGCAGGGTCGGTATATAAAAGTTTGCCCTTACTTTACTCATCCACGTAGCTCCCTGGCTGCTCCCTGGCACCACCTGAGCATGCTGGGCCACCCCATGCCCCTGCAACTTCCCAGGTAGCCTCAGAAATGGTATGATCTGGAATGTGCCCCTGACACTGACTTGCTGTGTGACCTCAGGCAAGTCCTTCCCCTCTCTGAGTCTTGTTTTTCTGTGAATGAGAGTCAATGCTATCTCTAGTGATCCTTCCAACCTGCCAGGGTCAAGAATCTGCATGACCTTGACCCTGACCCCATGCTGCTTCCTAGGAGCATTCGGAGGGCAGTCTGAACCCCAGAACTGCTCAGGCACAGATGTTCTAACTCCAGGATTGGAAGGATTTATTCTAACTCTCTAGGATGCCGTGCCTTCCTTTCAAACTGTGCCAAAAGTAGCCAGAGGGAGGACACACACATCCAAGCCACAGCCTGGCTTCTTTTAGAAGAGGGTGCCGCAGGCAAGGCCAACTTCAGCCTCTGTAATTACTCCCAGCTCAGAAGCCAGCAGTCTTCTCTGTGTCGGGAGAAACATAGCACCGTGCTGTCCCCAGCTGGATAGGGTGGCCTCACTGACATTCCCCTGTTTATAAACCAAGTGCTTTGTTAGCCAGTCTGTCCTTGGCTTCCCCAGCAACACTGCTTAGGTGGACCCACTTAACAGATGAGAGCCCTAGGTCAGGGAGGGAAGCATTCACTGATAGTCTCCGAGAGTCAGAGATTGGGATCAGACTCAGGCCCATAGGCGATGGGGTAGAGTATAATGCCAGGGGTTAGAACTCAGCTGTCCTTTTGGTGGTTGTGAACTCACCCTTCTGAGCCTCATCTGTAAAAGGGGCAACTGTACCTATTTCACGGGGCTATCCGTAAGGACTAAATAACAGGAGTTGGAATGGCTGAATCCTGTTCTTGAGAACCTACCTTTAAAGTTGCCTCCTCCAGGAAGCCTTCCCTGACTACCACCCATGGATTAAGTTTCTCTTTGTGGGCGCCCACAATCCTGAACTTTCAGCACTGCAAGCACTGCTGCTGCCTGTTTATACTCTTCTCATCTCCATTAGACTTTGTACCCTCCAAAAGCAGGAAGTTTTTCTGATTCATTTCTGAATCCCAAATGCCTAGTAAGGGGTCCAAATGGAGTTGGAACACAGTCAGTGTTCCTATCCTTCCTCCCTCCTTTCCTCCCCTTCTCCCTTTCTCCAACTTTTCACCAAACCAGGCTGCCTTCTGCAAAAGGGCTGTGGCAATAGGTAGGTGGGTCCGCAGGGCTGAGCCCCCCGGCTCACTTATCCCGAGCCAGCTAGATTCTGGAATAGTAGAGAGAGCATTCTGGAGCAGGGAGGAAAAGTGATCCCCCAGGGCAGACTGGCCAAGGGCAGCTGGTGGTGTCCGGCTGGCAGGGGGCACCATATGGGCCTGATAAGCAGGAAGGCCTGGGAACTCTGCGTGTGCAACGAAAGCTGTTTACCGGCCTTTGCAGTTTCCCGGAGATGGCTTGCTGGGAGCTGTCAGCCATGTGTCCCCTGCAGAGGGGCAGCCTGCTAGTGCCCCTTCTGCCAGTCGCAGAAACAGAAGCAGAAACAGAATGTCAGAGCTGTGAGTGGCCTCCTCTGAGGTCACTGTGGCCGAACCCTCATTTCACAGATGAGGAGGCTAAGACCCAGAAAGGGATAGGGACTTGTGCAAGGTTACACAGCAAGCCAGGAACAAATGCCAGGTCTCCTGCCTCCCACCTTGGATGCTTATAACAAGGAGGAGGCAAAGAAGTAGGGCCAGGCGCAGTAGCTCACGCCTGTAATCCCAGCACTTTGGGAGACCAAGGCAGGCAGATCATCTGAGGTTGGGGGTTTGAGACCAGCCTGACCAACATGAGAAACCCCATCTCTACTAAAAATACAAAATTAGCTGGGCATGGTGG